ACTTTTTAATTTTAAAATTTTTAATTTTTAATCTTTAAATTTTTAAATTTTTAAATTTTTAATTTTTCAAAACTTTTTGTTTTTTACCTTTTTATATTATAACGTTTTGTTCATTCACGTAGAAGATGGATAGTTTGTGGTTATCAACATGTTTCCTCTGAAATACCCCGATTTGGGGGGTTTAGAATGGGAGGAAGTGGAGGATTTTGAAAGTCTTCCACTTTCCTCCTCTTCCCCCCTATTTCCTTCAACCAAACACACACAAATCCCCTACTTTCCTCCCCTCCCCTCCGAAACCCTCCAACCAAACAGGGCCTTAAGATTTTGACATGGTAAAAAAGGTAGAAAAATGCGTAGTTAATTATGCCCGATATGTTGATCGTGTTTAGAACACATATAGCCCGTTTGGTAACAATAGTAGTGGTTAAATATGCCCGATATGATGATCCAGTTTAGAACACTTATAGCCCATTTGATAACACTTATATTGGCTGAATCAGTTGATTCTGCTGAAATTTATAACCCGTTTGGTAACACTGATATTGGCTGAATCGATTGATTCTGCTGAGATTTATAACTCGTTTGGTAACAATGATACGTAACCCTACTCTTAAATTCAAATCGGCGCAACATCTTGAGTGAGGCAGAGGCGCTACAATCATCTCAGCGGAAGGCAAGAACCGGCCCGGACAGCCGCAGGTTGCGACGGACACACCGGCGTACAACAGATTCGGTCTCTATTTGTCCTTCCTAGCATCATTCTTCGCTAGCTCCATACTTCTCTTATGTTCGGCCGCCGGCAGTAGATCTCAATCGGAGTCGGCGATTACGACAACTTGAGTCAATTTAATCAGAAAATTAGTTTCAACCTTATTTATCTTGATTGTCACACAACTCAACGCGCGAAATTAGAAGTTATATGTTTGGTGAAAAAGTCAACTGATAAAGCTGATAAACTAAAAAACACTCACCAAATGGGATTGTTGTTTTATAAATTTGTGTATATTTATAACCAACCTTGGAAGTTTGAACCATTTTTCGTCTTAAACTCCAAATTCATCTGTTCGTCATATTATATGAGCCTACGGGCTACGAGTATATGAGCAACAAAAAATCTATTTGTACCCACTTTTGTACCCATCCCTCTATTTTGCTTGTGCACACAGGCAATTCGTTAAGAATGCATCATTTTGTTTGTGTTTGTCTGTGTACACAGACAAAATAAGGGGTGGGTACAAATGTGTGTACAAAAGTGAGTACTTATTTTGCAACTTCCCATTTCATACCCATAGTAAAGATTACTCTTATTGCATACTTAAGAGGTGATTTTTGTTACACTACACACATGTATATGGTATATCTTCATTTTCTTTGAGCTTTTTGCCCTTTTGGGAGAGCATGATGGGTCTACATCCGATTGTACAATAGACACTATTTAGTCGGATATTTTTGTAATTAATTGCAATTTGGATGACAATAGAGCTAGATGGTGTATTCTCTGTGTTTATTCTTTTCCTCGTGTGTTGAGATTCCGCTTCCCATAGGTCATTTCTTCTCTTTTTACTCTTATATACTTATATCACCATATTAATTTGCTCTAGAATTAACACCTACAAATTTCAAAATAAATCAAATGAGATGAAAATTTGATTTAAAACAACTCAATCTCTTTCACTAATAACATTGCAATTTGTTCAAATTAGCTTATAATTATTGAATAATGTCCGCCAAATGTTTGAAAAATACCAAAGTCAATGTTCATTATTTTCTTAATGAAATATTTTATTATTGTACTTGTATACGATGTTAATATATGTTTACTTTGTTTTGCTTAATAGTTTTGTTTAGAATGTATGCTGAGTTTTCTTCTTCTAATTATGTACTTTTGACAAATTTTAGATGTTTTTTTTTGTTATTTTTTAGCTGGAAGTGTAAAAATTTTGTAAAGTTGTCGACATATGAGTTTCCAACAATGTTTCCTATAATAAATAGGGAAAATGAAAACTAATAATCCAACCTTTTAGTGGTCTTCTTACAATAGTCTCACCTTTTCATTATTCATGAATAATCCAACATTTGCACCCCATCTTCATTCACTGGTCCCTGGCCGATTTATGACATGTTATTCCAAGTTATTTTCTTATCTTTGTAAAACATTATACCATAATTCCCACCTTATGATCACATAATGTCTTGCAAAGATAGGAAAATAACTTGGAATAACAGGTCATAAATCGGTCAGGGACCAGTGAATGAAGATGGGGTGCAAATGTTGGATTATTCATGAATAATGAAAATGTGGGACTATTGTAAGAAGACCGCTAAAAGGTTGGATTATTAGTTTCCATTTTCCCTAATAAATAAGTAAACATAACTAATATTATTAATTGGAATTAGAATGTTTTTTATTACATGTGAATATTAAATTGAGCATATGTTATGCTAAAATGAATATAACGTTTACAAGAAATGAGCATTGGTATTATATTATAAATTTTGCATAAAATTTTTTAGATGAATATTATAGTGATAATATGTTTAAATGTATACGTTAATTACTTAATTTATAGAAATATATGTCTTGTATGTTTGATATAGAAATCACTTTTATCTCATATTCAAATGTGCATATATATAGTCTACAAGAAATTAGCACTATTATGTGAAGACTAGTAAATGAGTTTTATGTTATGCTAAAATGAGTATATTGTTAAAATTAAATGTGCACGAGTGAAACATTATAAAACGAGCACAATGAATTGTAAATTATTATTTCTAAGAAAATTATAATATTTCTCATTGCTAAATCTTTATTCATAATTTAGTAAACAAATTTATAGAAATGAGTTTCATGTGTTATATATACTTAAACGAGTATAAAGTTTAAAACAAATGAGCTTTAGTATCGCGCTATAAATGATCATAAAAATAATTCAAATGAATATACAATAATTGTGAATATGTTTGTCAAGAGAAATGCGTATTATGTAACGTTATAAAATGAAAACAAAAGTGATATGATTATAGATTGCTTTTATTAATATTTGTCATGCTCTTTTGTGATTAAAAAATTAATATTTGTCATGTATTACAATTACTACTAAGAATTGAGTAATAAACCTAATTGTATAGAGATTGTTTGCGAAAAATATATATTACTCTTATGAATTACCTAAATGAAATTTCTGTAATACTCACATGAGTATAACATTTATAACCAATGAACATTGATATATGGTTTTAGCATAACTATTGAAATGAATATTTGATATCCTAATATAAGTATAATGTTTATAATAAATGTGCATCGATGTACTTTACCAAATTAACAGAATATATAAAGTTTGTAAGTCTATGATATGGAATTATAAAGTATTTTCTATTAACTTGCTCCGTGTTTCATAGATAAATTTATTAAATTAATCTAATTATATTAGTAGAAGTAACTTTTATAAATTAATAAGGAATATATAAATTTATTGATTTGTAATAATAGAGTAGTTTCTTTTGTAAGCGTTGGGTGGCTTACATCCCATTTACACACCCAGGTTTATCTTTGTACAAACAATGTTTTTTTCATTTTTTAAGTGAATGGTGTATGTCACGAACATTTGTTTGCACACAACACAAAATCAGTGATATAGTATACGAACTACATGATGGTTCGACGGCTTACAAACACAAATGAACAAGGAAATACTATTTTATGTGTCACAAACAAAAACCTAAAAACAACATTGTTATGCACAAATAACACCGAGCGCATAAGTGTCCTAGCGTGTACACGAAAAACAGTTGTTCTTTAAGGATGTTTTTATTTGGACTATTTTACGTGTTTGACCGAACCAGATGAGACTTGGGCTATGTTTGACACAACGAGTTGAAGCTGGAGGTTAATGTCTGAAATATGAGTTATTGTCTGAATCAAAGACTATTGTCTGGAACTGAACTTTGAAGTGCTAAATCTCAACCGCTAATTGAATTGAGTAGACTTGTTTGGCAAAAAAGCTGAAAAAGTGGAGGAATAATGTGAAATTACATTATAGGACACAAGATTTATTAATAGAATAAAATATATTTATTATAAAGATTTTTATATTTAGGCCTTTGTTAAAACTCTAGTACTTATATTTATATATGTATGAAATATATTTATTATAAGGATTTTAATCAATTTCTTTTCTAGGCGTATAGTATGAGGCCTTACACAAACAACACAACACTCCGACGGAAGAAATCGAACACTAATCTACTGTTCAAGTCAATATAAAAACACAGAAGCCTTACTATACTAGTGCGGAAGAAATATCAGAAATTAGAAGGATGATGTGTATCCCCAAGCAATACATACACAAACAATTTATAAACCAAAAGCAATTGAATACATACCTTAAACAAAGAAAGCAGGTGCAGATGAATTCTGTGGAGAAACTTATTAACGAAGAAAGTGATGAGCAGACAGAGTAAAGAAAGGTGAGAGTCCGGAGGATAATTTGGGAATCGAAGAAAATTTTATGACCGGCTGAATACAAACGCTACGGTGGATAGCGTTGCTATTAAGCTCTATTTTTTCAGGTTCAGCCCATTTAAGTTCATTTACCAAACATGTGTGTTCCTAAATACGGAGTAATTGACTAGAATTTTAATATTTCAAACTATTTTGAGCTTATTTGGCTTGCCAAACATAGCCTTAAAAAATCATAACAGAACACACTAGACTTCTATAATTATAAAATATTGTATATAGAGATAAAACATTAATTATCAAACCATATAAGATAAATTCAAACCAAACGAAACAAGAGCAGAGTTAAATAGATTAAAACAGACCGATAAAAGTTAGAGGATGTAATTTTTTTGGTTTTTTTGGCCCGATCATAATATTCATAACCAAATGTAGATGAAATGAACCTTAAATTTATAAGAAATGCAGATTGGGCCCCAATACATGCATGAAATGTACAATCATCAGTTTACATATATTTATATAGCTTCGCCATTCCCAACTCCGTGTATGATTGTTTATACTAGTACCTTTTTTTTCTTATATCTTTTTTTTTTCTTATTTACATAGATATATATAGGCATTATCTCTTATTCTAATTTTGGTCGCCGGGAAATTAAGATTCCGACCAACTGCTTCCTAGAGCAATCGGCGCATATCCTTACTCTGTATCGGGTGATTCTTTTCCGGGCGGCAGAAGTAGTGATATATGATCAATGGCAAAAGGTCGGAAATTAACGACGAGCCGGAGCGAGAGGTTGCTAGGGAGCTACAGCAGCTATAGCAACGGCCGTGGAACCGTCAACGACGCATCGGAGTTTGTTGAAGACGACGTGTGGGGAACAGTCGATGAAATGGCCAACGGCGACGGCAGTTGCGATGATGGCTCGCCTGGGGAATGGACCCCACGCGCCGCCGTTCCCAACAATAACGGGAGCCGGCGGCAGATCCCACGCGCGGAGCATGACCGCCGCCAGGTCGGCGGCTTGTCGTTGGCTTTCGATGATTCCGGTAAGACGGCATCGCCCCGGATCGTCCACCAATTCCGCGGGCAGCAGGACGGGGCGGCGGGGGCATCGCCTGGTGGGCGTCACGTGGCCGCGTCAGCGCCGGTCAACGTCCCGGATTGGTCTAAGATATACCGAGTCGACTCGGTGGAGTCTCTGATTGACTCAGACGACGGCTTGGATGAAAATGGCGCGGAAATTGTTCCGCCACACGAGTACTTGGCGCGTGCATCTGCTCGCTCCCGGAAAACCGCCACTAACTCGGTGTTTGAGGGTGTGGGGAGAAAACTGAAGGGACGAGATTTGAGCCGGGTTCGGGATGCGGTATGGAGTCAAACCGGGTTCTATGGGTAAACAATTATCGACAATTATTAGTGGGTAAATTTGGAGTGAACATTGGTTACTACGGAGTATTACAATCATTACATTATTATTACTGTTATTATTGTGTTTAAAATATATTAAAAGAAAAATCTTCAAACGGGTTCAACTCGTCACCAAAAGAAAGTTAAGGGGTTGAATTTGAGCAAATTGACTGAGCAAAGACTAGAATAAGTGGCGTTTTTTTACTTCCTATTTCATTCTTATTATTTTTGAATGTACTTTTTTTTTGTCTTTTTGCTGTGAATTTAGAAACTTACTAAATTAGAAAAATGCTATTTGTACACTATTAATTGTTTGTACTATTAATTTTCATTTTTAGTAAATAGAACTATTTGTTATCCCAAAAAGTAAATTGTTTGTAATCAGCGTATACAAGTAGAACCATGGTAAGTAGTACTATCCGCACCGGTAGCTTAGTTGGTCGAATGGTGGGAAAATTGAATCAATGTGACCAAGGTTCGAACCTCGCAATGGCTGTGTGGAGGTAGAACCTGAAATAAGGATGAATCTCTAGTGCGCATGTGTATAAGGCCTACCGTCGCTTTGCTGACTGAGTTACCATGATTAACCTCCCACCATCCTGTCGGGTCGGGGTGGGGGGCCTTTGGGTTGGACATTCAACCTTTTGGACCAAATGGTAAGTAGTACTACATCTGTAATGTTGAGATCTTCTCACTTTGAAAGTGAGTGAGATTATAATTAATGAAAGATGGTACAAATTATGAGGGTATAATGTGAAAATAATGAAATTGTGTGATAAATAAATGCTAAATCCAAAAAAAATTATGTATAATAATGTACGAAACATTATTTTTAAAATTATTGAGGGTATGATGATGAAATTTACAAACGAGAAATTATTTAGTTACGATTGAAAAAGGAAATTGAGAAGATCTTTAAGTTACAAATGTAGTGTGGTATGGTTTTTAAGAATAGATGAAATACATGATTGATATTAGATTGTTAAAGTCAATAAAACGAGACAAAATTACGGGAAAAGGTAATATATATGAAGGTGCGAAGAGTGGTTTTGAATGGCAAGGCGTGGTTATATTAATTGTTGTTCCAAAAGGTGGAATCTCCCACCCCAGGAGCCCCCATCCCGACCCGACATGATGGTGAGGAGGTTAGTCACGGTGACTCAGTCAGCAGAATGACAGTAGGCCCATACACCCGTGCGCACCAGACGTCCAGCCTTATTTCAGATTCTGTGACCTCCACCCGGTCGCTGCGGGGATTCGAACCTTGGTCCATTATTCCAAATCTCCCACCACTCGACCAACTGAGCTACCCGTGCGGGTGACGTGGTTATATTGAAGAACTGGCCCAAGTTCACTTCATCTAAAAGGACCAAAACAAAAGGAAATAAGTACTACACAAATTATTGTTTGAGAATATTTTTACCTTTTGAAATGTGAAATGTGATCATTAAAATTGCTAAATTGACCCACAAAACACACGATTAGCCGTGCCCACAAAATTGACCAAAAAAGAATAAAACCCTCAAGCAAGGGTTCCACTACTCGTCCTTGATGAATATCATTATTCATTGATGTATGATATCATCTTTTTATGGACACTGATATCTTTGTAACAGATCCAAAGATTCATGTGATATGACTTTGCCAGTTAATGTAATAAATGATACTTAAACAGGTCTTGGTTCACACGAACCGTGGAATAAATAAAAACCAAACTACCAAAGTATGAAGTGCTACTAATCACTTTTGATGGCCAATCAAGTGCAGATGTTTTTGCCTACGTTTTTGCTGTTTTTTTAACCAAACCAAATTAACTAGCATTAATTAAATCATGATGGAGTACATGAGATATACAATCCGGTGAAGAAAAAAACCAAAACCGACGATCAGACAAAGAAAATGCCACCCTAGTTTATTTTATGAGGTTTAATGCACTAAACACTCATCATAATGCTTCATATATATTTGGCGCATTAGTTGATGTAGTTTAAAAAGTGCGTCAAATAGTGATGTGTTATAATTATTCATGTGTCGTACCCTTTCGAGAACAAATTTAATAATTTGGCAATTAGATTTTTTCTAAAATATTACTACAAAAAATTATCTAGACCCCTCCCAAAAATTTATGAAGGCGATTGTAGTAGGCAAGGCATACTGCAGTAATTGTCCATATTTTAAATTTTATATTATAAATATCATATTTGAGAGATTTATAATTTAGTTCTGTAATTTTTGACTGTCCTCATTATTAGTAACGTAACTTTACTCCCATGCTCATTAGGTCCTCTAACTAATAGGTGTTTACGGTTTAAGGATTTTTGCACCGGAAAGTACATTTTCTGGGAAAAAATCGACATTTGCGGCATATTTTGCGTTGAATTATCGGTAGGAAAGTGTACTTTCCTGTGGGAAAGTAATCAAATTGCAAAAAATTATTAATTACGTGACAAAATTTACGAGCAAGTTAAGTATCAAGACTTAAAAACAAGCACAAAGTAATCTTATTTGACAAAAATTGCAAAATTTCCTTTACATTTTAATAGTTGTACTATATCCCCCCCCCCCCTATAGTGAAGGCTATATGCTTCCATATTATTGTCTAAATTGGACTTTGCACCCCTTTTTTAAAAATCTTTGTTTTTGCACCCCAACCACATATGAAAAGACTAAAAATGCCCTTCCATTAACAATTATGTTGACATTCAACATATTCTTGATTGAGGGCATTTTTGTCTTTTAATATGGGGTTGTGGTGCAAAAAGAAAGATTTTTAAAAATGGGGCGTAAAGTCTAATTTAGACAATAATATAGGGTGCAAACTCAAATTACCCCATAATTATAACACATGAAGATTTGACACATTTTTTAAAACACACTAACAAACTAGTTTTAACGTTTGGGGGAAACAAACACAGTTTCAACACACACATTTTATCTTTGTCTAAACTTCTAACATCTACTATGAATTGGGGGAACTAAGGAAGTGAATTTATCATTCCTACTATAAATCGAAGTAGTCAAGCACTCTAATTACATTTACTTAACCTGGCTTATTCGAAATAAACCTACTTAACCGCCCGAATTGTAATTCTAGCCAGAGTTAGTGAAGCTGACAAGCTAATTTATGTGCAATATAGCTGTGTTTGGCACGCATAAGTCTCTACCTTCTAGCTTTTGTACTGTTCAAAAAGTTTCTAAAAACTTCTAGTTATATGTTTGGCATGACAATTTTTAAGAGCTTTTCAAAAATTAAAAGCTCTTTTTTGAGATGTTACGGGGAGTAGCATCTGAAAAAAGTCTGTAACTTTTAGTATTAATTAGTCCTAACAGCTTGTATACCAAACCGAACTACATCAAATAGTCAGCTTTTTACCAAACAGCTACCACTTTTTCTCTTGAAGATTTTTTTAATCACTAAAAACTAACAGTTATTAAAAAAACACGAAAATATTTTTTCAGCTAGTTGTGCTAAACATACCTTATATAACAATGAGTCAATAACTGCATCAGCTATTGTATAGTTTCCTCCATAGTGAGTCAGACCAATCCGTCTAATTTGAACTTCGCAACAATAATTAATAAATTAAAGCGAATTCATTCTTTGACATATGCAAGAAAATGTTTGGACCTACTCCTTAAAAATGTTTCCATTCGTTGAGAGAGAAGAAGTAGATATTAGAGTGTTTGAGTTGAAATACAGAAAAACTGGTGAAAGCTTCAATTACTCATATTACTCATAGAAACAGTTTTTTAGAAATTGAGGAAGACCAACTTATGAATCTTGATTCTGATTCTACCTTTGCTTTTTGAAAAGAAGCAACAATAGAACTAGTTGCAAACACCCCATAGTGTTACAAATGAAATAAATTTGGCCATATTTTCAAATGTAATTGCCAACTCAAACAACTAAATGATACCCGTACTTGATATATTAATCAGATTTATTCAGCAAATGAGATGTGGTTTCATTTATATTCCTCAATCTTGTTATATATATATATATCTCTATATAAATGCCCTTAGTCCCATTTATTTAACAATTTTTCTTTTGAGCTTCTTCGCCAATGTGAATTAAATTGCACCTAGCTATTCGCTAGAAACGCATCTTTGCGCAATTGAAGTTATCCATTAATTAAACGCACCTTTGCTCTAGAAACCCCTAGTGTGGAACTATTGATTAGCAAAGCACTTAAAAGGCACTTGACTTATTTTAATGTACTCCAATTGGCCTATATATACCTATCACTCTACCAAAGATCATTTAGACATCCTTTTATATGTTGGAGGTATTGACTAACTCAAAAGAGATAATTATGAAGTGTATTTTACCAAAGAATGATCACTAGCATATGAGTTAACTCCAGTCATCCTTTAATCAGTATTTCCAATGTCAAACCACTCAAATGGTAGTGTATGAGTTAGATAATGAAGTATGATTGATGTGAGAATTTTTTATTTTGTTTTTAGGGTATAGTAATTTTTTAACTTAATTGTTAAATAATGAAGTAATGACATATATATAGCTCTATTGTGATTGACTAAAATATGGCATCTAATCTAATCATATAAAGTGACTTAGCTTTTAGTGACTATTTCGTATAACATTTATACCCTATGTATATGAAAATTAGGATTTACGATGTGAAAATTAGTAAGCCTGATTACTTGCGTAAAAAATTGATATACTTTTATAGTTTACACCTCAAATTGATTCAAATGTACATCTCAAAATTAAATTTGTGTGATCAGGAATATATGAAGGTGTAAGGATGTTTTTACTTGGACTTTAATTCATCCCAGACCAGACCAGATCAGATCAGACCAGACCAGACTTGGATAGTTATAAAAATACAAAGAAATCAGACCAGATCAAACCAGACCAGTTCAGACCAGACCAGACCAGACCAGACCAGACCAGTTCAGACCAGACCAGATCAGACCAGACCAGCAAATTACGGTCCAAGTAAAAACATCCTAAGAAACAACATCAATCATTAAGTTATGAAGGGTAAGGATGTTAAAGAAGAAGAAATTACCAAATTACGGGAATCTCCCGTCTGACAAGCCAAAATACGGGAGTTCCGTTTAGGTTACCAAATTACGGTAGTCGGAATTGGCAATTCCGACTGGAGGAGAAGTCCAATCCGACTAGAGGTAAGTGCCAATTTAATTAAAAAAAACCTAGTCGGAATTGGGGAATCCGACTAGGGTATTTTTGATTTTTTTTTTAAAACAATGGATTAAAGCGGATAAAATTTATTAAAAACCTAGTCGGAATTGGGAAATCCGACTAGGGTATTTTGATATATTTTTTAAAAAATGACGTGTTTAATTGTGGTTCGAACATTTTACCAACCAACTCGTATATTTGGGAGTTTTGTTTTCATTTTATTGTTTGCACTACGTGTTTTATTTGTATTCCTTTATTCTACCAACTGCATTTATATGGTTACCGTACGTACCCCAATAGCTCCTATAAAATGAGTTCATTTCTTTTCAAAATTTTCACTCCAAAAAATAACCCTTCTTTCTCTCTTGATATATTTATTACATTTTCTGTTTAGGCATTCTTCTCTCATATAAAAATGTCTAGTGAGGGAAATATTGTTGTTATGGTTCATTGGAATCAGGGGCGGATCATAGTGAGGGCAGAGGTGGGCTTCAGCCCAGCCCAATTTTTTTATTTTTATTAATATAGGTATAGCTTCAATTATTAGCCCACCCCAAAATTTATGTCCAGCCCACCCCAACCCAAGCCTACCAGACCTGCGGCCTTCCGAATGCGAACTGGCCGAACTGCGCGAGATTTGCGAAGAACAAATGTCTAAGAGATGAAGACATGCGGCCAGAAGCCGCGCCGCCTTCCACGTGTCAAGGGCCCTGTGCCGCTGCGTCGGCCGTCTTCCCTGTCCAGCTCTGAGCTTTCCTATCTGAATTGAGCAATTGGCGAATTTGATTCTGCGGTGATGCCTCCAGCTCCAGTCTCCAGGTGAGAAGGTATTATTATTTACTCCGTATTAGTTTATTACTCTTTTAGACTTTTAAGTTTTACTCCGTGATTTATTATTGTGATGTGACTGTTATTTATAGTGTATTATTTTTTTTAGGTTTGTAAATCTATTTAGTTATTAATTAAATATTTCAGTATATAATCAAATACTGTTTATCATTATAAATTTATAATGATTATATTAAAAGTAAAATTATACATTAGAGAATGGTTTATTTATTATACAATTGAAGATTAGAAAATGATTTCTTTATTGCGTCGACGTGTAAGAAAGAACAATTGAAGATTATGTACAACTGATGGTACCTATGATTGCAACCATGACCCAAGAACCATCTTAAGATAAGCACATCAACGGGATAAGCCCATTGATCGGGGTTATAATAAATAATAGCCGCTAGGCCTAATTAGGAATTCGACCCGCGAAAGGAACCCATAGCCAGGCCAGGCTGGATAGCAGACCTCGAACCTGGACGGAGTTCTAGAGAGGTCGGGCTCTTACTTATTAGTTTTACACTTTTATAGAAGTATTTTAATTCATACCAATAAATACTAGAATCTTCAATAACCATTAATAGATTTATAAAATCGCACTAAAAACCTTTTAATTTTAAAATATATATAATTTATTCCTATAATTTATGCGTTGTCGATAGACTCGAGTCCTATCGAACTGAACATCAATATGCTCGAATTCAGCTTGAATAACTATTCGAACTCAAAATCTAGCTCATGTTTGATTTCGAAACTCGTGAAGCTCGGGACGTTAAATTAAATTCGAAATCACGCTCGAACTCGAGTAGTTTGAGAAAAGCTCGGTTGGATAACAACCCTAAGTTAAACTCTTTGTGTGCAATAACAATTTTTTTACTGCTTAGCCCATCCCACTTCTCATTCCTGGATCCGCCCCTGATTGGAATGGCTCTACATCTCAAAAAGATGATGAAAATAGAGTACTTCATACCTCCTAGGGCGGTACTATTCATTAGTGAAGCAGATGATTATACTATTATACATGAGAATGTTCTAAATCATGTTAGAGGCGACGGATTTTCCGAAATTAAATTAATTTACGGAAAATTGCCAAAATATAAGAATTCTGTATATGTTGCTTCTAGACTATGGCCCATTCACGATGAGCAGACATGGCGTCATTTTTTCCGGATCGCTAAAAATGAGTATGAGGAGTTGCACATTTACGTGGAAGCTTCAGCGACCCCGCCATGTCTCTCAGAGAGGAAGGCCCATCATCCGTATATGGTCGGAGGAACAACCGCCAAACGTTTCAGAACTACGAATCTCCTGGTATGTGTTGTTCAAGTTAAATAGAATTTACAATGATTTGGTTTTATTTGTTGTCATTTTAAGAGTGTAGAAGTAGTTAATTTAGTAATTTGTAAATTTTTTAATTTTGATTGTTAAATAGGATTTTCAGAGTAAAAATTGGCTATCTGTCTGTCTCATCTGCACAAATTCAATACTTCTATCTAATTACACAAGAAACACATTTTAGTTCAAATAAATGAAATAACCGGAAGTGGAAGTGGAATTTTAAAAAAATTTAAAATTTTATCTCCTGTCGGAACACCCAAATCCGACGAGAGCACAAAAAGTTTTTATTATTCAAATAAACTTAAAATTTGTATATAGCGCATAAAATTTCAAAACTCCTGTCGGAACACCCAAATCCGACCAGAGCACAAAAAGATTTTATACTTCAAATAAACTTAAAAATTTTATATATTCCGATAAATTAAAACCAAAAAATTCAAACCATAATTTTATTTTATTTTAGATAGTGTGTTACAAGGAATTGTGTTCAATTCTAGAAATTCAAGAATTGTGTTAAATTAATAATTTGTCCCAAATAATAATATTGAAATTTATGAATGTATCTACTTTGTACAGTCACAAACTTGGGTGAAGAGTCGGACGACCCAGACTATGAACAAGGTTTTAGTAGTGATGTCGATTCATCCACGAGCGATGATAGTGACGACGTAGTAGACACCACCTGGGCTAATGTGGAGCTAGAAGAACCATATGTTCAAGCATTAGATTCTGAGCCTGAAAGGATCGAAGTAGGCGCACTTTACTGTTCATATGATGCACTGAAAGAAGCGGTGGCGAGAGAAAACATTCGTCAATTTCGTCAATTCAGAACGGTTGACAAAAGGCCACGGTCCTGGAAGGCGGTTTGCATAGACCCGACCCTTTGCATTTGGCATATCCAAGCAGGAGAAGGTATGACGTCAAAAAAGTGGAAAGTAAAAAAATATCAACCCCATCACAGTTGTAGGGAGGATCCTGTCATGGCTCGGGATGACAGGCTCCTAACGGCCAAAATTATAGCCAGTGAAATCGCTCCAAAAGTGAAAGTCGACCCGGACTACAACATTAAACTGATAATGTCAGACATATATGAAAAATTTTAATATCCGTGTTTCATATAAAAAAGCTTGGAATGGACGCTTGATCGCTCTGGAGCGTAAATTCGGCAATTGGGAGGCATCATATAATGAACTTCCTATGTTGTTGGAATCTATACAGTTTTCAAATCCGGGGACTGTTGTTCATTTGCAATCACAACAGGCCGGCACTCCTGATACGTCTGAATTCCGCCGAGTGTTCTGGTCATTCAAGGCTTCTATAGACGGTTTTAGATTTTGCTTACCCGTAGTCTCGGTTGATGGCACTCACTTATATGGCAAATACAAGGGAGTTCTTCTAGTTGCGGTAGCCATGAATGCTAACCGTGAGATATTTCCTCTTGCATATGCTGTTGTTGAGAGTGAGAATGCCGACAGCTGGTCGTGGTTCTTTGCAAGGGTTATGCGTGATGTGGTTGGAAATCACCGTAGTGTGTGCATTATCTCTGATCGTCATGCAGGAATTGAAAGTGCATTTAGAGCCTTGCGAGAGTTGAGATCGCCACAAGTTTCAAAGCGTTATTGCCTCTGTCACATACGGAGTAATTTCATGACCAAGTTTAGGAACGCGGAGCTGAAAAAATTATGTTGGCAAGCTGGTAGCACTCCCACAGAACAGGAATTTCACGACTGTATGCAACAAATACGAGACATAAATGAGAGTGCTTTTCTATATTTGAATGAGATTCCTGTTGAGATGTGGGCCCTGAGCTGTGACGATGGCAAAAGATATGGCATTTTGACGACAAACCTTTCTGAAAGTTTTAACAATGTCTTAAAGGGATGCCGCACATTGCCTATCACAGCACTAGTAAAGGCCACATTCGATAAAGTCGTCCAACTATTTGCCGATCGACGAAATGCGGGAATAATGTGGCACCAAGCTGGATTCTTGTATCCACAGAACATATGGAAGGATGTTCTTGAGCGGTCACAGCGTAGGTATCACACAACTATTGTCCCGCACAATCGAACAACGGGAATTTACTCTGTAGCTATTGGTTCGCATGATCCAGTGACAATCGATCTGACAAGGCAGGAATGTGGGTGTGAGTATTGGAAGTAGAACGGGATGCCATGTGTTCACGCGTATGCGGTTTGTCGGTTTTTAAAAATAACCGTAGACAACCTCATCCCAGCTGTGTATTCCTTAAATGCTTACATCCGAACGTACGCTTCCGATATTATGCCTATTAATAATTACCTCAATTTCATGGCAGAAACATCGCATACACTTCTCCCGCCCCCAAACAATAGATCGGCTAGAGCCGGTAGGCCACAGAGAACTCGATTTCCTAATGAAATGGATTTGCGTGCTACAAGGAGGGACATGAGTAATATTGTAATGTATACCTTGTTGGGTTTTTTGAACTAATGAAATATTTGTTCTCTTTTTCGGGTGTTTTACCAAAACACGTGAATTCTCAACATGTGTTGCCAAAATATGAGGAAAAAGTTAGGTTTTCCCAAAAAGCGGAAGTCGAAATTGGGTATTCCGACTACATGGGTATTCCTGTTAACTATAAATTAATATATCATGCATATGTTGAATTATGATTATTATGAATGATTATATACCCATAGTATATAATTTGAAGGTTTAGTAGTAATATGTGTTTGCGTATTCAATAGATAAATAATTCCTTATTTTTTTTAATATTCAGGCACAATGAATAGAGAAAACATAAATTGGATGTATAATCAATATGTTGGCAATGGTAGAGGATTGACACAAGAGTTTAAGAATGGAGTTATTCAATTTTTTAAGTTTGCACAACAACTATAATTAGATAAAGTTTAATCAGATAACTATAATCAGATAAGTTCAGTCAAATAAAATTTAATCAGATAAATATAATCAGATAAATTTAATTACATAAAATGTAATCATATAAATATAATCAGATAAGTTCAATCAGATAAAATTTAATGAGATAAATATAATCAGATAAGTTCAATTAGATAAAATTTAATCAGATAAATATAATCAGATAAGTTCAATCAGATCAAAATTAGATAATTCCATATTTATTCCACATTTGTACAAAAAATAAACTCTAAGCCACCAAAGAAACACAATAAGGGCTCGGATCCCTATCGCACGGCTGTTATCAAAAGAGGAGGGGCTTGGATCGGAATCGGAGGGCGGTAAACGGATACCTCCAGTCGGATTTTGCAGATCCGACAACAATAAAATTTTAAAAAAATTGTTTTGTGGATACTAACTTTATCAGCTACTATCACACGGTTCAAGGAAAAGCAGAAGAAGTGTGGACCACTAATTACTCAACACCAACTTTTATTTAATGGATTCATTGCTCCTTGCTCCAACTCAATACCAATATAGAAGTGTGGACAACTCAATACCACTAATTACTCAATACCACACGGATCGTACTGCTCATTGCTCCAACTCATACCAACTTTTATTTAATAGAAGTGTGGACCACTCAAGAACTCCCAACTAATTTTTTTTTTATATAAATAGAGCTGAGCCAGTTGGATCAAGAATCCCCACTTAATCCCAAGCAAGAGCACCTACTAGCAAATCAAAATTTGTGATCTGCCAAATTTCCAGGTTAGTTAATTTTCGGTTTTAGAAGTGTAGAAGTAGTTAATTTAGTAATTTATAAATTTTTTAATTTAGATTGTGAAATTGGACTTTTAGAGTAACATTTAGCTATAAAATACTTGAAAGTTAGAAAGTGTGTAACATTTAGAATTTCCCTTAAATTTGGGTTTTAGGAGTGTAGAAGTAGTTAATTTAGTAATTTGTAAATTTTTTAATTTACATTGTGAAATTCGAATTTTACTCTTTAATTTTAACTTTTTATTATTTATAATAGTTGAAATTGTAGATGTTTAGAAATTGCGTTAAATTTAAATAGTCGAATTTAAGATTTTAATTTCGCAATTATAGTTATTTCGAATTTCAAAATTACTAGTTATTTTGGTAACTTTTAAGATTTTAATTTAGAGTGTGAATTTAGAATTTTACTCTACATTGTGAAATCGGAAGTTTAGAGTTGTACTTAGCTATGAGAGGTATGGAGTACTCTAGATAATCATCTGCTTCACTAATGAATCCCAAGCAAGAGCACCTACTAGCAAATCAAACCTTTGTGATCAGCCAAATTTCCAGGTTAGTTAATTTTCGGTTTTAGAAGTGTAGAAGTAGTTAATTTAGTAATTTATAAATTTTTTAATTTAGATTGTGAAATTGGACTTTTAGAGTAACATTTAGCTATAAAATACTTGAAAGTTAGAAAATGTGTAACATTTAGAATTTCCCTTAAATTTCGGTTTTAGGAGTTTAGAAGTAGTTAATTTAGTAATTTGTAAATTTTTTAATTTACATTGTGAAATTCGAATTTTACTCTTTAATTTAAATAGTCGAATTTAAGATTTTAATTTCGCAATTATAGTTATTTCGAATTTCAAAATTACTAGTTATTTTGGTAACTTTTAAGATTTTAATTTAGATTGTGAATTTAGAATTTTACTCTACATTGTGAAATCGGAAGTTTAGAGTTGTACTTAGCTATAAAAATCTAGAAATTTAGAAATTGTGTTACATTTAGAATTTGAGTTAAAATTCGATTTTATGACGTTACAAGTTGTTACTTTAGTAATTTTTTATTTTTTTGTGTTAGGTTGTGAAATTAGAATTTTAGAGTTCAATTTAGCTATACATATCTACAAATTTAAAAATTGTGTTACATTTAGAATTTGTGTTAAATTTCGAATTTAGTAATTTATAACTACTTATTTTAGGAATTTCAAATGGAGCAAAACATTCCGCGCCCAGGGCCTGTTAACCGTTCACTACTCACGTTGCCACTGTGTGCCCATCTTGCGGACCGTATATGGTATGAACCGAATTCCAAAGACTCGTGCTTGAAATGCGTCAGTTGCCCTTCAGCTGCATTCGGAGTTGAAGAGCGAGATCCAAGAGTGATAGGTATGTTAGCATATGCTGGCTTCTTGGGGGTAGAGCACATTGCTCGTATGAAGGTGGATCATAGTTTAATATGCGCTTTGGTGGAGAGATGGAGGCCGGAGACACATACTTTCCATCTTCCATTCGGTGAGGTCGGCATTAGTCTACAAGATGTGGCGATGATCCTTGGTTTGCCCATTCGGGGTATGCCCCTCAGTGGTCCAACCGTTAAGGGTAAGGCTCAGTGGATCGACCTGTGCACGCAGTCGTGTGGTTTCACTCCTCTAGAGACTGATATGCGCACGAGTGATATCACCATGAGTGCTCTTACCCGTCACCAGATCCTACCTGACAGTACAGACGAAGAGGTCACCGAACACACCAGAACCCTATTATGGCAATTGCTTGGAGGCCTTTTGTTCCCTGACACGAGTGGGACAAGAATACGATTATACTTTTTGGAGGTCTTGCAGGGTGACTTGGCTTTAGCCTGTCGATGGAGTTGGGGATCAGCGGTTCTCGGGTACTTCTACCATAACTTGTGCAACGGCGCCAAGTGGGAAACCAAACAAGTTGGCGGTTGTATGCACTTGTTACAGATTTGGGCTTGGTCGAGGATTTCGATGGTCCGTCCCTCAGTAGTTCAGGTCATTCAACATGACCATCTTCCATATGGGTGCAGGTATGTTGGCAATTACATCTTAATAATTGAGAATGCGTTATATGACGTTAGAGTTTTTAAATTCATTTCGGTAATAAATAAATGTAGGTGGATCGTCCCCAAGTCATATAAGGGATCCCCAAGACACTGCACACGCCTGTACCGGGATGACCTAGACCGAATGAGTGAGAGTCAGGTAGTACTTCAAATTTTTACTTCCACTGTACTATTCAATTTTTAATACACATTGTTTTATAGTGGTTAAATTGCAAATTAAAATTTTTACAGTTTGATTTCACTCCCTACGCGTCCGAGGAACTCCCACCTATCATCCTTAATGACGCTCCGCTTTGGTCGGCTAGGGTCATGCTCATATTTTGCAATATGGCCGAAATGCATTACCCCGATCGATTTCTTCGGCAGTTCCATATAAGGCAAGATACTCCGGATGCTCCTTTGGCGGGTACTGATCATCACGGCAATCGTTCCAACATAGTAACCGGTGCCTTGGCGTTGTGGGCGGACATACAACATAATATATACTTTCTTGATTATGATCGACATATGTCCGTCGAAGCAACTAAGAGGTACCGAAAATGGTACCAGAAGCATGGTATGACACGTGTCCAGAACCCTTCTCACAATGTGCCCACGACAGGCAACATCCGACATCACACGATTGGGGTATTGTGGTAAGTTTTTGAATACATACTATATTCATTAACATATATCATGTCATATTATTTACACGTGTTACATTTTTATGCAGAGGCAGAGCTTTTACGAGCTGAATCAGCTCTTAGCCGACCGCGCAAGTCATGAGGACTGTCAAAAACGACTACGGCGGATGGCCCTGGACGTAGGTGATGAAGAGATGCTCCGCCGGGGCATATTCCATTATGAAGATGAAGATGAAAGTGGAAGTGACGAAGAGGATGATGCAGATGAACATGAAGGTGGGGGTGAGCACTCACAATCGCCCCCTCAATTTTCAACACGTGAGGGTGTCTCATTTGATCAACCACCCCCTCAATTCTCAACGCATCAAGGTGTCTCATTTGATCAACCACCGCCGTATTATGATTCTTATCAGTACTCCACACAAGCGGTTGATTATGTTGATTCATTTATGGATCCGTCGTCGTTTTACTATGGAGACACAATGGGGCCTTGGAACACTAGCGGTGGGGACGGAGCAGGGCCGAGCACGCAACGTTAGATGTAGTATCATTAAATTTATATTATTGTATGTACTATCTATTTATTAATAAATTACATTGAAACCTACATTTGTTTTGTTCACTTTCATTAAATTTACAAATCGCATTTAAAACAAATTCAAATTTGTATCTCATTTTATGAATTTTATTCACAATACAAATGGATTTAAAAAAATAAAATTAAAAACTATAACTTTAGGCCAATTTAAAAATTAAATTGGCGACTAATTAAAAAAAGAGAAATTCGGCCAATTTAAAAATTTAAACATGAATGAAATTGGCCAATTTAGTTTAAAACTTTAGTTGGAAATTAAAAACTTTAATTTAAAAAATAATAAAAACTTCCTAGTTGGAAGTGGTAGACCCGACATGAGAGAATTTAAAAGTTTAGTTTTAAAAAACTCTGAAAATGAAAAGCGGCCAAAAATTAAAAAAAAAAAAAAAACTCCGTCGGAATTGGCTAATCCGACTGGAGGGAGGAAATTGTTTTTTCGAAACCCTAATCCCTGGTCGGAAGTTGCAGTTCCGACTCCCATATTTTGGTAAACCCTACATAAATCCCCGTTTTTGGCAAGTATATCCCACTTTTCCCGTGTTTTGGTAAAACACCCGTTAAAGAAACCCCTTAAACTATGTCTATCACTATCTAGGGTTTCTTCTTCTCGGCGGACTAGTTCCTAGTGGGGCAACCCAATTCTAGGTTTTTTTATGGCGGTTGTTTGATCGACAACCTGGTCCGGCAGTTTTGGTGTTCCTTACGCTCAAGTCAAGGGTTTTTTCGGTTGGTAGGCGCATGCCTAGAGTTTAATTCGCAGGTTTTGATAAGGAGTTCGCACACAGCTAGCTTTGGGCGGAAGTTGGAGGCAATCCTTGGTTTTGATAAGTAGTTTGAAGCTAGCTAGTACCAGCGTCTAGGGCTTTGGCTTGCGGCATGCAATTTTGGGAAGACTCCGTCAACATCAACTGGCGACAATACTACAAAGGAGGGAAAAGAGGGAGGATAACCGCATATCTCAGAGTTAGGAGGATCCAATATAGCCGCAACGAAGACGAAAACTAGCGGTGGATTTACTACGCGTGCAGGACGGAGAAAGTTGGGGGCGGCGTGTTTGGCGAAGGTCAGAATTCAGCCGGTAGTGGAGGATCAATCACAGCGGTACTGATAGTCCGACCTTCTCCTGAGCAATCATCATGGGTTGAACGAGATGCTAGGGTTCGACAAATTTGAGCTATTAGTTATTGTTATTTTGTTATTTGGACGTTTGTGGAAGTTTATCTTGTTCGAATTGCCAATATGTTTGGTAGTTTATCTTACTTTTATGTCGTTAGATTAGAAGTATACACATCTGTAAGACTAATGATAGTTGTGTCAAGCATATTTTGTTGTTAGCGATTTGTGTTGTTTTTATATGGGTAAACATTTCTATGTCTAACCGTAGGTTTTACGGTCGTTGTTAGTGGAGGTTAGTTAGTGGCAAGTATAACTTTCCTTGGTCCAAAAGGTGGAATCTCCCACCCTAGGAGTCCTCCATACCCCGACCCGACAGGATTTTTGGGAGGATGTTAATCACGGTGACTCAGTCGGCCCAATGATGGTAGGCCTTTTTCCCGTGCGCACCAGAGGCCCAGCCTTATTTCAGGTTCTGTGACCTCCACACGGCCGCTGCGGGTTTCGAACCTTGGTCACTTGGTCCAAATTTCCCACTACTGAACCAACTGAGCTACCCGTGCGGGTACTTTCCTTTAATTGATGTAAGGATACTGATACTAATGATATGAATATAAGTTATTTCCATTATATTCCAAAAAAAGTTATCAAGGATGTTTTTTATTCGATTGAAATTTTCTGTTATGGTCTTATCTGATATGGTCTGTCTAAGTCTGGTCTGATTTAGTTTGATAGATGTCCGGTGTCTGTGTATTTTATCATTATCGAAGTCTAATATAGTTTTGTCTGATCTGATCTATTTAAGTCTGATTTGGTCTGCTGTGTTTAAGTTTGATCTTGTCTGATCTGATCTGGTCTGCCGCTAAAATAAGTCCAAATAAAAACATTTTAAAAATCTGTTTGGTGACTTGTTTTGAGTTTATCAAACTTATCAATTACTTTTAATAATCAAAATAAATAAGATTATAGTTACTTTATGACTGAATGAGTTGAAGACAATATACTCCGTAAAGAATTATTTTACCTATTTGTATATAATATTTTCTTTATTTTATTAAGGGAAAACGGTCAAATAGGTCCTCGAACTTTCATAAAAAGGTCAATTAAGTTCTTTTATAGGAGGTTCTGTCCGACCGTTGAGATTTGGGGCAGTTCCTGGTGGAACTTTTTAATGAATTTTTTTAAGCATCTTATTCACCAAGTCTAGTTTACTCATACCAAATTTCAGCTAAAAATTCAATCAGGAACTCATTCAAATAAATTCTTGAAGATAACTGCGTATTTTTGCGTTCTTGAATTAATTTGAATGCGCTCCCGATTAAATTTTTAGCTGAAATTTGGTAAGAGTAAACTAGACTTGATGATTAAGATACTCAAAAAATTTCATCAAAAAATTCCACCGGGAACCGCCCCAAATTAATTCGAGGACCTATTTGACAGTTTTTCCTTTTATTAATAATATACGTAGTATATTTTAATTTTAATTTTTTCATAATTCAGAAAATTCAACCGATTTAATTGCCTCAATCAAAACTTTATTAATTTCATGTGTTTTGGCCATTCAACTTTGAGAGTTTGAGTGTTACTGGTATCAATTATGAAAGTGGCACTAACATATTTTCAAAGAAGGAATGAACAAAACTTTTCAAGACAACGAAATGACAGGAAAATCGACAAACCTCTTCAATACTGGGTGGGTAGTGATCTGCCCCTACCCTCTTATTAGTCAATCCGCATTTATTCGGCGCAGGTAAATATTTGAAGCACCCTAGAGAAGGAATGGAGGCGATAATCCTTTTCTGGGTGCTAATAAGCTTGATCAAATCCCACTAAAAGTGCTTAACCATTTCTTTTAGTGGGGTCTTCACACTGAATTGGCCAGCTGTTCCTTATTACTGCTTTCGCCCCCACAGCTCCCTCCTTCCCTCTGTGGAACACCTCATTCATTCATGGCATCTGAGTCATGATTTCTTACTTACCCTTTCTCAACCCCTCCAAAAAGCCCATTTCTTTCTTCGAATTTCATTTTCTTTTCTAGGGTTTTCTTATGTTTCTTGCTGTGTCAATTTCTACTGGGAGTTCTTGAGCAACTACAGTAGGTATGAGGCAGTGGGTGGCCTGGAGGAGTTGGAAGCTTTATTATCTTAATCTGTTTTTGCTTCTCTGTAAGTATTTTTGCTTTGCTATTAAATTCTTGAATCATTGATCTGATTATTGTTATAAAATGATACGGAGTATATTTTCCCTTAACCTCCTAGAAACCCAGTTGGGTTTTTTTAACTGGTGCTTTATAGTTTGGGGTGCTGTCTTGTTAGGGGATTCTAGGTATTCATGTTCAATTTGTTTTTTGAATTATATTTCTTGAAGTTTTCATGCTCTTTTTTTTCTGCTTCTATACATACATTGCTTAATTCTGATTGTAAAGGAGAATTACTCATTTGTGCAGGCCTCCATGACGCCTGCTGCAATCCTTTGAATAATCTCAAGGGCTTTACAGAAAAATTTGAGGAAGGCCTTCTACCTCAGATCACACCAATTTCATCTCCTGACGCTCAACCCCTCCTTCCTCTTCTAGCTCCTTCTCCATTGGCTCCATTCTCAAATAGCTCTGGCACCCCAAAACTGTCTGGTCTGTTTCATTTTCAATAAAATGTTAGGCCCCGTTTGGTAAGAATCATTTGGCTGAAACAGCTGAATTTTTTGGCACAGTTGTCTGGCTGAAATTGCTGAATCAATAATTTTCTGAAATGAAAATCAGTTGGTGACATCCACTTCAGCCAAATAACCAAGTATAAGCTGCTTATTCTAGTGATAAGCATAATAAGCCAAATAAGAGTGTGTTTGGGACATCTGATAATATTAGATTATTTTAATACGTAGCAAGAGATATTACCCGAAATAGGACTAAAAGAGTTTGAAAATTCCAAAATAAGACTGCCATGTTTTTATTCCCAAAATAGGACTAATTAATGCCATGTTTTGGCAGTACCAGACTTCAAACATGTCAGTATTTTCTAAACATGGCAGTAATTAGTCCTATTTTGGGAATAAAAAACATGACAGTCCTATTTTGGAATTTTGAAACTGTTTTAGTCCTATTTCGGGAACTTTCCCTTTTAATAATCGATTATACCAATAGTAGATTATAATCAAAATCAGTTTTTGTTTAGGTAAAGTGCTAAAAGGTAGCTTGCTACTCATTACTAAGTAATTCCACTCGGATGCAACAAAAAATAGCTTTTAGAAGGTAAAATAGTATAAAAACAGCTTGAACAAAAACCAAGCTTCTGAATAATAATCATAACCCACAACTTTCTAACTTCTCAGAAACACCTGAAAGTCTGAAACCATTGATAAAATCTGTTCCAAGAAGAGCAGGTTATTTACACACTTTATTCAATCTTTAACAATAGCTGAAATTGTAAGTTCCCAAACAAGCTCTAACGCCACGAAATGGAGCCTAAAATTCTCAGGTGACCTTACTACAAATGAAGTAATAAAACTCTAAATTTCTTCAATTTTTATTGCAGGATCATGTCCATTAAACTTTGCTGCAATGGATAACATGATAACCATGACCTCGATTGATTGTCTCGCTCCATTCGCAAAGTATCTAGCAAACGTTATCTGTTGCCCACAACTGGAAACCACTTTAACCATTCTTGTAGGGCAATATAGTAAAAACAACAAAGATACAAAACTTGCTTTAAACAGTACCCTTGCAGGGCATTGCCTCTCTGATCTCCAGAAGGTTCTAGAAGGTAAGGGGGCCAACGGTACACTAGAGAGAATATGCTCTATTAACCCATCAATCCTCAGTGAAGGTTCTTGCCCAGTCATTAGCGTGCAAGAATTTGAATCATTGGTGGACTCTTCAACCCTTCTTTCTTCTTGTGAGAAGATTGATCTTGTGAACGAGTGCTGTGAACAGGTCTGTCAAAGTGCTATATCAGAAGCTGCCGAGAAGCTTGCTGCAAGAGGTTATGGTCTTTCAATAGTTGACCAGTCAACTAGAGCCAGTGATTGCAAACGCATTGTGCTCCGTTGGTTAGCAAGTAAGCTTGACCCTACTGGTGCAAAAGACGTTCTTAGAGGGCTTTCTAGCTGCAAAAACAATAGAGGTGAGGAATACTACTAATTCTCTCTTATCGACTTCTTATATTCATAAGGTTAATGCTTGCATTTGTTGTTTACCTAATATTACGCTAAGCTATAAATGATGGTCATCGTTTAGACATAAACAGCTTAAATAGATCAAGTGTGTATTATGTCTTTCTAGTCATCATCAGCATCATTACCTCAGTGTCGCAAAGGCTCTCACCTATGATGGGATAAGGAGGGGTCGGATGTACGCAGTCTTACCCCTTTACTAAAGCACCAAGAGACTGTTTCCGGATGACCCATAGTGAAAATCGTGTCCAGAATGCATGGACTGACTGCAGTTTCATAACAAAGAAGCGCAAACAGTTTAGTGAGCCATTTTGCTTTATTCCATCATATTTTCAAGCCAAAAAAATAGTGAATCTTTGGCTCCGTTGCAAATGATGGAAATATGTCTTTCTAGTACGGCCTTGAAATTGCATTCAAGCTCAGCTCCTAGCTACTTCTAGGGTTCATTTGTATTTCCAAAAATGCTAGGTAAAGAAATTATGTGGCAATGTTTAAAAGAGATCTGAATGCGATGAAAATGTTTGGGAAAAGAAAACATTTGTTTAGGCATAACAATTTTTTTATGTTTGTACAAACTCATTTTCTGTAGTTGTTTATATTAAAATATGTTATATGGACATTAAGAAATCTAAACATGTGTAAATAAAATCATAAGCAGAAAATCTTATTTCATTTTATCTTTGTTTCACAATTTTTTCCATTTCCTGTGTGAAGCCAAACACAAGAAAATATCCTTCATTGATTTTTTCCTCTCCCTAGAATTTTTTGGGGTCAAAACTACCATTAAGTAACATGGAACATTAAAATAGGGAAAAAAACAAAACAAAACATCGAGAAGTGATATGGAAGTTGGAAAAAAGGAATAGAGAAGGAAGATCTTAAAGATGGAAAAGATAATGGAATTAAATATAGTATGTGGTAATAGTTGAACAAATATTACATTATGATTGCTAATGCTGATTGCCATCGCCTTTACTTTAAGTAAAACTATCATATCTGTAGTCAGCCTCATTGCAAGTAACACCATCTCTCTAAATATCTATATTATTTTCATCTCTCAGTGTGCCCTTTGGTTTTCCCAAACATGAGCCGTAGCATTAAGGCTTGTAAGAACAGGATAAATAACAAGACAACATGCTGTAGAGCAATGAGTCACTACGTTTCACACTTGCAAAAGCAGAGCTTTGTTACCAACTTGCAAGCTATGGATTGTGCTGATTCACTTGGTATGAAGTTACAGGAAGCCAATGTTACCCAAAATGTTTACAATCTCTGCGACATCACCCTTAAGGATTTTTCAGTTCAAGGTCTGTTCTGATTATTGAGGCTATTTGAGTCTGTTTTGTAGTTCACGAAGATATATTTAGCATATGCTAACCCTAATTGTTCTTTTTCTTTTTGGATGATCCTCGTATTGGTTCTTGGTATCTTCAACATCACTTGTACAGTTACACAAGAAGGTAAGGCCTTCTGTTTGTTCTCTTGTTAAGGGTATATTTAGTAAATTAGTAGTTTTGGATATGCTCAAATATGTTATTTAGTCCCGGCAAATATAGCATTTTTGTTTATACCCCTGCATTTTTGTTGTTTCCCATCCCTGCAATATACATTATTTTCTTCTTAGAGGAAATATCCATTTAGAAGAGCTATTAATGTTGCTTGGATAACTCTAATTTAAACTTTCACTTCAACTTTTTATAGCTATTTGGAGACTATCAGTGGATTTAAAGCTAGGTAAAGTTAGTCATTCACGTTTTTAATATATGTCTCAATGGCTCTCGAGATATACAATTTTAATATTTTTGGATTGGCTTAAATTCAAAAGCAAAAAACCTATTGATCATTTTTATTTCGTTTTCAAACACAGTTGCTAGGGTCAGCGGGGGTCTAAAAAGAAAAACTTCATAAATTATAGGGATGAAAAACAAAATATGATTTTTCCGGGACCTGAAACAAAATATGAAAACATAATCAAGCTAATATGGAAAGAAGCCCATTATTACTATCATTATTATTATTCATTATTATTATTAGTTTCCTAAATTATTAGATGTTAGTTTCCTAAGGTTGTTCTTAGTTGCAGTTTCCTATTAGTAGAGATATTCTATTTTAGTTAATTTCCTAATAAAAGTATTGTAATAGAATTAGGGTTACTCTAATACAGTAAAACTAGACCACCAAGACTCTTGGGACTAGTATAAATAGAGGTGCCATATAAATGATAGTAATAATGGGCTTCTTTCCATATCACAAGCCTTTTAAATATCACGACAGTTTAAATATGGCATTTGATGACCAGCCAAACTACTATATTGTTTCATGGCCTTTTGAATAAAATTTCCTTCTCACTTTTTTAATTATTTATTTTCTGATGGGGCAGTTTCTGGGTGCCTGTTGCCAAGTTTGCCATCAGATGTCATGCTTGACCAAACAACAGGGATCAGCTTTGTGTGTGATTTGAATGATAATATTCCAGCTCCATGGCCATCTGTGTCGCAGCTGCATGCTTCCTCGTGCAATAAAAGTATGTTTACTCACTTTCTTCCTTTTCTTCTCTTTTACTTCTGTCCCCCAAAATGATTCCAGCTCCAAAGTCCAATTTAATTTTGAACTAATATTCGTGCAAAGACAATCTGCAAATGGTTTTAGTCAATGATTCCAATCAATCTTAGAAATACAATAAATTTAGGGGTATAACCATATAACCTTGAGACCTTGTCACAATTTGTACTATAATTACCTTACTCAAATAGGACTTTGAGGAGGAGGGGGTGATGGAGTATAATTCCTAGATCGTAAGACTAAGATTTACAACATTTACATAATTTTTGTCAAAAAAAAAACATGATAAGTAAAAAACTAAAGGAACATAACTATTTTTTTGTTGCAGCTGTCAAAGTTCCTGCACTACCTGCTGCTGCAGAATCTGGACAAACCTGTAAGGACATTTTTTTGTTTCTTAGTTTTCTTGCATGAACAGATTTTTATTAAAAGTCATGTTGAGTATGAAATTGGAGTCATTCTGAGATTTTTGCAACCAGAAACTTTTTGTTTTACCATTAACATGTGAAAGCAAATCAGCTCTCCTGGGATCAGTTTAGATGGTGAGTCTTGGAGGGGGAAGGCTTTGAAGATATCTGTCCCCCATCTTGATAAATAGAATTTTTCTAAAACCATATAATGGTTTTTGGAAAGTTTTATGTGATCACTCATTATGATATTCATTCTAATGTACTCGTATAAAATCTACAAGTGTATGTTTATAATATTATTAATATGTACATCATGACGTGTTAAAATAGTGTGTGCATGCTCTTTTATGGAAATTTGTGTTTGTCACTTGTCAGGTCTTTACGTGTTAGACACGAGGTCTCGTCTGCTGGTGGTATTATTAATGTTGGTTGTTCTGCTTCTGCCATAAAGCTTATGAGCGGATCCTTCTGTTGTTGACAAAGCAGTGAAAGCTCTGTTTTGAGATGATATGCAAAGAAAAATGATGGATGGTAGAATTCCATGTAATTATTATCACTTCAACATTGCATTGTATGTGTAAACTGTAAAGTATATTGAGATAGCATTAAGTTGTTTTTTACAAATGTCATATGAGGACTGAGATTGATAATATAATTTCAGCATCATCTTAGTTTGTGAAGTGGGATTTTGATCAATGGAAAACCTGGCACAGCAATCCTTAGTTACAAACTTACAACTTACAATCAAACATGGATATCCACAACCAGAACATGTAGGGCTCATTTTAAAATCAGAAAACCACCTGTTAAAATCTACTCCATATAAATTAGTGGATCTAGTTCTGGGATTGGACGGGTAAAAGGAAATTAGTGCTGGTTTTTTTCCGATTCCGGACTGGAAGTCTGGAACATGTCCAGAATGGCAGTGTTAAAAACAGATTGGATTTTTTAGGAATAGGCTAAAAGAATGAAAGTTGAAACTAGTACCAAACAAAATACCACACCTTTATCACCCGGTTGACACTTGACAAAGCAACTAGCTTAATTGGTTGTGGAGTCATCCGATTATCCTGGAGGTCAGGAGTTCATTTCCCGATGGGAGCAGTTTGAGCTCTTGTATTCCCTCCCCCAGGACCCCCAACCCCCTCCCCCCCTGACCCCCTCGGGGCGCCCCCAAAAAATGTAGAGAGATTACTAGAGAATAGTTGATATTACTATGTTTGTGAGTTTCATGAGCCACAACAATATTCTTCTCTTTGAAGTCGGTGAAGTACAAGAGGTATACAACATTAATAATTTAATATCGAAACGGACCATGACTTTAAGGAACTAATTCATCAAATCTAATGACTATTAAACAATTAACTAATGACGTATACGGCATAGTATTTTTTAAGCAATATAAATAGCATTGAGCAGCTAGAGTCTAGACATTTCGCTTCAGTTGTACCACTCCATTAGACTTCAGTTTAATAGTGTTTTTTGTGAATAAAATATGTATCAATACGTACGGTACGCGCATTATACCTTTTATGCATAAAGTACATGAATTTTTCTTAAATTTCTGAAAAATTCAAAAACAGGAGTATTATACGTGAATTATAAGTTTGAGTGTATAAGTGTATTATTCGTAAATTATACGCGAATAAACTAACAAAGAACACAAGTACACAACCAACATGTGATGCACAAAATCGACACAAATCACATGTAACTGATGCAGGTAAAACAAATGTAAGCTTTTCAATTAAAGATTGATGAACATCCGGAACACCGAACACTGAAGGCTGAAGCTGCGTGAATAATGAAATTTCCACAAAAAAATCTCAAGAGCATGTGGGCAAACTGTTTGCAAAAAGCCCAAGATTCTTGCACAAATGACATCTGGTAGAGAGTCCACTTGCGGAAAGTCAAAACAACCAGAAAGTGAACGAACAGTTAGGGCTAGGTCCCAAGTCCCAACCCACTCTTTCACGTGGGGAAACTTTGCATATAGAACCCACATCAATCAATCTTTTGTCCATATCATCCATTCCTTTTACTTGTTCAGCGTGAATCTCTGTCTGTGTCACCATATGATGGTGATGATTTGGATCTCATCATATGCTTGCACATCCTGTAATGTTTTATACTGCTGTATCATTGTGTTTATCAATAATAATAATAATAATAATAATAATAATAATAATAATAATAATAATAATAACAACAACAACAACATTAGATATTGAAAAACTTGAATCAGTTTGGGTTAGTTTCAGTTTTGTATAGTTTTGGTTTTGTAGGCCTCAGTTGGTTTTAGTAGGTTTTGTTTTGTTAGGTTGCTTCTGTGCCAAACCTTAAACCGAAAAACCGCCCAAGGTTAAATTGGTTTTAATTTAGGTCAGTTTTGGCTGTTTCTGTTTTTGGTTGGTTTGTAGGTCGGATTTAGTTTGGCTGTTTTTCACTTCAGCCATAACTTTGTTAATTTTGTTTTGTATTAAATGTATAGCGAGTTCATAAATAAAGGTAAATTTGGTAAGACCAGATAGCTTGTGATTGATTAATGTTTAATATAATTTGGGAGGGAACAATGTAAGAAGACAAACATAGACAAACATACGCATGGAGAATATCGGCTTTTTGCTTGATTTCGCTTGAGCAAAGTACTGGATTAGCATTTTTGGGCAATGCATCCTGTTGTTGGGATTTATCTCTAAGCCAATGCTCTGCTTTACTGCACTCGCTGAAGACCTACCAAAGAAATATCCATGACCTTATAAATCATTACACTATTCATCTTTTATGCATCTCATTTGTCTTTGAAAAAATAGATGACTACATACGGCATTTTTCTCACTGGGTGGTAGAGACTCTGCAGCAGTTCGATAATCCACTATGCAATTCAGTAGATTTCGTGTTTCCTGTGCCCGTGCCTCTTCATCCATGTATCTGTGCTCAACTGGGTCTATGATCTAATCATCATTTACAAGAAACATTAAGGCTTTGTTTGATTGAACTTGGAAAATGATAGGGAGTGGTGGGAAATACATTAAGGTTTGATTGATTGGCTGGAACATGGAAAGTGGTAGGTAAGGGGGTGAAATACCAAGGAAAATGGTTTTACATTTTCATTCTTACATAGGAATATACGCAGGAAAATCAAATTTGACAAACATTTAGAAATTTACACATATTTTGATATCTCAGTCTTTATATGATAGAAACATTAAATTACAATGAGTGTGAACAAATATCTAACATTTAAATATAGAGTTTTGAAGCAACTCTATTTTCCACACATTTTCTTTTCCTTCAGGCTAGGTTTGGGTCATGGAAAATGCTAGGGGAAGGTAAAAAAATGCCAAGGAAGTGAATTGAAATATGCCAAGAGACGTAATTTTCTTATGTTTGACTTTCACTTGAAAATAAAATATAAATAATTTTTTGATTTTTTATAGAAATGTTACGATATGTTGGTCTTTATTTAATAGAAATAAATAGATAAAAAAATATGAAAAAATAGCTAAATAAATTTATTGGGTTCAAGTCTCTCCACTATCTTCCCTCAAATTTTCTTTCCTTCTCAATTTTGCTCTATTATGTTCCTATTGCTCAGATTTTGATTTTCTTTCCTATTATTTTCTAAGTCCCAAACGAAAATAAGAAAATCAAGATTCTGTAAGGGGGGCATGTATAATTAAAATACATAATAATATTTGATAATGACCTTTTTAAGACTCATTAGCTTCTGAGCATAGATTTGTTCAGACTCGTCATCTCCGTCCTCATAGAGCCATTCTTCAGTCTGCTGCAAATTACTACATATATCCTCTCTTTCTGAATCAGTGGCAAAGCTCCTATATGTATTCAGAAGCTATATATGCAAATGAACAGCATGTCAAAACATTGGCAAAAATGAAAGAACAAAGGTTCAGTTATAGCAAAGCCTAATGGCTTGTTTGGTTGAGCATTTCAGATAGGGTAATAACTTATGTTAATAAGTTATCTTTATCTGCTAGCATCATATAGGAAAGATTGTTTGAGTAAGGAACTACTGTACAAATAAATCAATGTACAAGCATTTACAAGTTGTGAATGGTAACTATCAACTGCAGCCCTGAAACTTGTTTCCAACATTGTTTGAGTGATTGACTGAAGTACTGAACCAGCTTGCAGCTTGACCTCAAAGGAATTTAACATTTTTGGGGTCAGGGTACATGAACTGCGGACATGGGCACAACACTACCCTCATAGACGGACTTGGGATTTAACTCAAGAGGTGACCTCAAAGCAAAAGGATCGAGGCATTGAGAATATTCAGGAATCTCACCACAGATTTGACAGTTCATGATAATGCAAAATTATGTTCTGGTGCAAATACAATATTTATGAACAATGGTAAAGTAAAAGATTGAAACTCAACCTTAGTACGGGTGTCATAGACATAAGCCTCCAAAGTGTTTTTCTTATCTTTAGTCCGCTCTACCTTCTTGTCATGCTCTGCTAATTCAAATTCTTCATCTTGAGCTCTGGAAAGCTCAGCTTGGGTCATTGCACCATCTACATGTTCTGTAACGGGTATATCTTGCCTCTTGATAGACTTGACTTTTTTTAATTCATCACCCTGCAAAATTATCCCTGGGGTTATGTTTTGGTAAGTTTATTTTCAACCTAGCTCAAATAGTAAAAATGTTTTAAACCAAAGGAGCTACTCTAGAAGATAATTCAAAATGCAAATCAATATAATGATTTTGTTATTAACTTTGATAATACTGCATTGTAATTAAAAACAAATTATCAACTTTAATCATTGTCCATATTTATTATAAAAAACCAAACAACATTAATAATTACACCAGAAAGAGATTATTCTAGACTAATTGAACAAGAAATGAATCCATTATATGATCTTTTGAAGTAAAACTAATCACGAAATAGAGTAAATTAGTAAAAGTATTTCGGATAATTACGAACGCCAGAATTCTGAACAATTTCTCCACGAAACTTCCATGAAAATAAGGAGTAGCCTTTTGGTGGGATGGGAACTCCGGGGGGGTCCAATAAAGTTGGAACTTGGGCCTCCTCACAAAAGGAAAGCGAGTCACAGTGACCAGGCTCTGGCTACTGTTTGCGAAAAAACAGGTCTCCGCAGAGTCACACGATCATGTAAGGGGCTGATGCTTGCCCAGTGTTAGAAAGTTAAAGGAAGTCGGTGACCTGATGACAGGGAGTCAGCGGCCGTAACCCTAGTTAGGTTTGAAACAGGAATGAGTCACAAATATGGACAGACTTATTTGTTTTCATTATTTTCTTTCATCCTAATGCGCATGATATAAGTTTACACTTTCTGCACTTGGATACTGGACTAATGGAAAGGCAAATTTCCTTGTGCAAACCATAACTCCTTTAACCGTTTTAGGCTTAAATGCAAAAGAAAATCGATAATTTTATTTACAAATGCAGGAAGTCAAGCTAGAAGCTACAAGACACAAGCTGCAATTTTATAAAACATAGGCTGACAGACTATTCAACTTATCCAAAAAATGTTAGACTGCAGATTGAGACGACTTACCAGATCTGGAAAGATTCAAGATTGCTTACCTCACTGTTGTCTGAAAAAGCATCATCTGGGGCTAATTCAGTCACCTGATCCTCCACGAGCTGAAAAAATGGGAACAAATCAAGAAACATCAAATCTCAAGGTGATTTTAACTTGACATGTTTTCTGGAAAGTGGAGTTTGATTAATACTTACTGATGCTGAATCAATTTTAACCAGCCCATGTACATTCAGCTGAACTCTGACTTTAACCTTTGCTTTTTGTGAATGAGAAACTTGGAAAGGACCAATCTAAAAGAAAGATTTCAATCAATCATAAGTATTTTACGTAATGAATAACAAACTCAACCCAGAGTTCCAGTACTAATAAACCTAATTCCTTAATGGCTGTCAATTTTTCAACCCCCCAAAACAATGCTACATGTTCGTGTTAAGGGCCTTGGTACAAGATCTAGTCCAAGGTCGATGCTTCTGAGAAGAACAAGAAAAATATGAATCTATGGTGCCTGAAATATTAATCGACTCCCGTCCTCGGCAAGGAGTTTGTCGCAGGTTCCACCGTACGCCAAATAAAATTAATATTCCAAAGCTAATCTCATTAATCCAACTGATAAGCCTTAAATAGGCTAAAGACAAGTTTCCTAAAACAATAATAGGAAAGAAGTAATACAGAAGCTCCTAAACTAGTATAAGGAAACCTGAATAAATAAACTCAAAGTAGGAAACTGATTTAATTAATTAAAATAGACTCAAAGTAGGAAACTGATTTAATTAATTAAAATAATGAGGACCACTCAAGCTGGTCCCTTCTTTGACCGCCTCTGGTAGACTCTGCCAAATCGACCCATATCATCACTCCCTCCGTTGACAACGAGCTTGTCCTCAAGATCGAAATCAGGAAAATTCTCACAGAAGGAATCCAATGTTTCCCATGTAGCCTCTTCCAAAAGCTGTCCTGCCCAGTGGACAAGTAGTTCCCAGCTACCCTGATATGGACGAGCCTTCAAAATGGACAGAGGTTGGAGTGGGGGTGGCAGGCTGTTCAGTTCTGGTAAGGTTCCCATCGTCAAAGGTGTGTCTCCTCTGTGTGGCTTGAGTAAAGAGACATGAAAGACGTCATGAATTTTGCTTGATGGAGGAAGTATCAGGCGATAGGCAGCTTGCCCAATAGCTTCCTTTATCTGAAAGGGCCCAAAAAACTTGGGTGAAAGCTTGTGAGTATGCCTGATGAGTGACAATTGGCGATGTGGATGAATTCTGAGCCAAACCCAATCACCTGGGGTGAATGACAAATCCCGATGGCCCTTATCGTATTGGAGTTTCATACGTTGTTGAGCTTGGAGCAATCTGGTCTTGGCTATGGTGAGGATGGAGTCGCGGTCAATGAGCGCTTGGTCCACTGCGTCGAGCTTGGCAGTGCCAGGTGTGTAAGAAAGTAGCTTGGGCGGGTCACGACCATACACTAACCTGAAAGGAGTATCACCTAAAGATGTATGGAAAGATGTGTTGTAGCAATACTCCGCCCATGGAAGCCAACGAACCCAATCTCGTGGACAGTCGCCGGTAGTACAACGGAGGAACATTTCCAAGGTGCGATTCACCACCTCAGTTTGACCATCTGTTTGAGGGTGGTAGGCTGAAGAAAATCGAAGTTGGGATCCACAAAGACGGAATAACTCACGCCAAAAGGAGCTCACAAACACTTTATCGCGGTCAGAGACAATTGATTCCGGCAGGCCATGGAGGCGAAAAATTTCAGAGAAGAAGACTGCTGCCACTGAAACAGCCGTAAATGGATGTGCTAGTGCAATGAAATGAGCAGCCTTAGATAACCGATCAAAAACCACAAAAACAACTGATTTTCCCCGAACCTTGGGCAATCCCTCGATGAAGTCCATGGAGATATCTGCCCAAATGTGATGAGGAATGGGCAGGGGCTGCAACAAACCTGCAGGCTGGAGGTTCAGCCATTTGTGTTGTTGACACACTTGGCAATCCCGCACATGGTCAGTGATAGTCTTTTTCATGTCAGGCCAATAAAATTCGCGACGCACCCTCTGTAATGTCTTAGCACTGCCTTCATGGGCCATGGAGTGGAACAAATTGACTATAGTTGGAATTGCAGCAAAAGATGGCAGTAAGTACACTTTATGTTGGAAAAACAGCAACCCCTCTCGATATGCCCACTCGGTTCCCAAGGCACCTTCGTCAAGCTGGCGTCGAAGAGCTCCAATTTCGGACGAGGAAGCTTGTTCCTTACGAATATCCTCAAGCAAAGTTGTATAAGGAATGAACAACGCTGCTAGGTGAGGCTGAGACTCATCACGGCGAGATAAGGCATCGGCAACCGTGTTGTACCGACCAGGTTTGTATTCTACCCGGAAATTATACCCCATCAACTTACTGAGCCAATGTTGTTGGGGAGAAGTCGTTAAGCGTTGCTCCAGTAAGTGTTTCAAGCTAGAATGATCGGTACGAATTAAAAATTCTTGCCCCCAGAGGTACGGTCGCCAATGGGTTACTGCCTTGGCCAACCCGATCAATTCCCGCTCGTATGCGGCTAATTTGATATGACGATCTGCTATTTTGCGGCTGAAATACGCGACAGGATGACCCTCTTGTTGCAAAACTGCCCCAAAGCCACTCCCTGAGGCATCACATTCAATGACAAATGGAATTGAAAAGTTGGGCAGTTGAAGTACAGGAGCTGTGGCCAAGCAATGTTTAAGTTGGTTAAAGGCAACAGTGGCCTCCTCATTCCAATGGAATGAATGTTTCTTTAAGAGTTGCGTGAGTGGCAAGGCAACCTCCCCATAATTTTTGATAAATTTACGGTAGTAGCCAGCCAGGCCTAGAAACCCACGCAAGGCCGTTAGTGTCCCTGGCAGAGGCCACTCTTGGATGGCTTTAACTTTCTCCTGGTCAACCTTGACGCCTTTTTCGTGAATGATGTGACCCAAATACTGCACACTATCAGTTCCAAAATAGCATTTGGAGCGTTTAAGAAATAGCCCATGTGCTCGGAGGATATCAAAAACTAAGCGGACATGATGGATATGCTCCACCCAGCTCTTACTATAGATTAAGATATCGTCGAAGAAGACCAGAACAAACTTCCGGAGATAAGGGCCAAAGATGTCATTCATTAGGCATTGGAAGGTGGATGGGGCATTAGTGAGGCCAAAGGGCATGACCAAGAATTCAAAATGACCATGGTGTGTGCGGAAAGCTGTTTTGGGAATGTCCTCCTGGGCCATTCGAATCTGGTGGTAGCCAGACCGGAGATCCAACTTCGTAAAAACTTTTGCCCCATGGAGCTCATCCAACAATTCATCGATCACCGGAATTGGGTATTTATCCTTCACTGTTTTACTGTTCAACTCTCTGTAGTCGACACAGAAACGCCACGAGTCATCATGCTTCTTAACCAAGAGCACTGGAGAAGAGAATGACGAATGACTAGGTTGAATGATCCCTTGTTCTAACATTGCAGCACATTGTCGCTCAATCTCATCCTTTTGGAAGTATGGATAACGGTAGGGGCGTACCACAACCGGGCCACAACCAGGAACTAAAGTTATGCGATGATCGCATGGCCGTGGAGGTGGCAGACCGCGCGGTTCCTGGAATAAATCCTGGAAGTTGCAGAGAATACCTTCTAGGGGTGAATGCTCATGTGAAGTGGGAAGTGCCATGTTTGCTGGTTTGCAGTATGGCGTTGGTTTGCCCTGCCATATGACGGTTGCACCCATCCAATGAAATTGCATAGACAGATTGTGAAAATTCCATACGATCGCGCCTAAGTCTCGTAACCACTGGACCCCCAAAATCATATCAAAACCAGCCATGGGAAGAACATAAAAATCAGCATGGAAGGGAACTCCCAAAACCTCAAAAGTTAACTGAGGACAGCTACCCAAAATAGGGACCTTTTCGCCATTTGCCACCACCACAAATAAAGAATTGTCTGTGGGTGAACTATACTCGAGTCCTTGAGCCAATCGTGCATGCACAAAATTATGCGTGCTCCCAGAGTCGACTAGAATCAGAACTGGTTTACCTCGCAAGGAAGCTGTAATTTGCATTGTTGTGGGTGAGCAGGAACCTGACATGGCATTGAGGGACAAGGCAAAGTCAGAATCGATTGTTTCATCGCCTTCGTCATCCCAGATTTCCAAGGCAAAAAGCTGCTTGCAACGATGACCGCGAACATAACGTTCATCACAATGATAGCAAAGACCTTTGGCTTGGCGACTGGCTACCTCCGCTCTGGAAATCCGACGACGCCAAGTGGGAGGCTGTTGTGAGTCCTCAATGGTCTGCTTTGGATTTGAAGCAAGCAGACTGGTTTGTGATGCGATAGGCATAGGGGATTGTCTTGGTTGAGGTCGTGTGACTGGGAGTAGTGCCACAGATTGTTGTTTGCGCTCAATCTGCCTGGCCAGATTCATGGCAACGTCCAAGCTTCCTAGAGCCTGAAACTCCAGTTCTAAACGGATTTCCTGACGAAGCCCTGCCATGAATGCGTTGACTTCAAATTGACTGGGTAATCCATCTACACGCGCCAACAGTTTCTGAAACAAACTAATATATTCCTCCACTGTCCCCGTTTGTTTGAGTTGAAAAAGATCTCCCGAAGGGTTGGTGCTTAAAGGTGGTCCAAAACGAAGGAGACAGTTTTCAGAAAAGGTGTTCCACGATATACCTGCACGCAGTTTATCTGCCCAGAGTTGAGCATCGCCTGTCATGTGAAAAGTAGCTAATCCGACACGTGCGATGGGGGCTGTCTGTTGATGTGAAAAAAATCGTTAACAACGCTTCAGCCAGCTCAGTGGGTCACTTGTACCATCATAGGTAGGAAAATCGAGTTTGGAATAGCGGGGCACAATGTTATTCTCGCTACTGACTCGAGTGTGGTGTTCGTGAAATTCCCTATGATCACCATGGGATCCGGAGGGGCTGTTACTATTGGAGTCAGTATGTGGGCCTGCAGATTTACTAGTCAGGGCGGCAAGCTGCGTGGAAAAAGATGTAACGAGATCTGTAATTTTTGCCTCAAGCGATCCTTGTCGCTGGTTAATATCTGCCATGAAGGTTTTGAGTGTCTCTGCGGTGATGTGCTCGTTCCCCATCGTTCTGGATACTGACACCAAATTGTTAAGGGCCTTGGTACAAGATCTAGTCCAAGGTCTATGCTTCTGAGAAGAACAAGAAAAATATGAATCTATGGTGCCTGAAATATTAATCGACTCCCGCCCTCGGCAAGGAGTTTGTCGCAGGTTCCACCGTACGCCAAATAAAATTAATATTCCAAAGCTAATCTCATTAATCCAACTGATAAGCCTTAAATAGGCTAAAGACAAGTTTCCTAAAACAATAATAGGAAAGAAGTAATACAGAAGCTCCTAAACTAGTATAAGGAAACCTGAATAAATAAACTCAAAGTAGGAAACTGATTTAATTAATTAAAATAGACTCAAAGTAGGAAACTGATTTAATTAATTAAAATAATGAGGACCACTCAAGCTGGTCCCTTCTTTGACCGCCTCTGGTAGACTCTGCCAAATCGACCCATATCAGTTCGGTGATTTATATAATTATATCCAATATGGCTTTAGGTATCAGTTCAAAAAAAACTTGGGGAAATTGTCACGATAATTCTCATTACATAGGAACCTTTAATTATGCTGCCTCATGAGAACAAAAGAAACTTAATCCATGTGTCCGTATTTTATTTACTATTGGACTTTGCACGAGGTTTATGAAAATGAAATTGTGTGGCTCGGATTTATTTATAAAAAGAAAAGTCAAAATAAATCACCAAATTCTTTCATTAAAAGGAAATAGAAGATTTTTAGATGCAAACCAAAAAGGAATGAGATTAAATTAAAGGGGCTTGGAGAGGCTACGGACTAGGGGGTATTAAATATCCTACCTACAGTTGACACTAGAGGTTGCCTCTAACATCAAAATTGAGAGAAACCTCTGAACAACAGCGCTATTTGTCTATTTGCAATTATGCAAATTAAGAGTTGTCTATTTGCAATTATGCAAATTAAGAGCAGCAGCAGCATGAAAACCCAACTATAAACAGTAAATTTACACATGTGGACTGGAAAAGGTATGAAATTATATATAAAAAAGGCTGTGTTTATATACAAAGCAATGCAAAATAAAAGCATTCCTACCGCAAAAGAGCATATTTTAGTAGATACACCAGGGGGAAGCTCATTTTGGTTTGCATAAAAGGCTTCCATGTGGAATGATTTGCCCCGATGCAACGTAAGCATCTTCACACTTGGAACAAGATGGCCTTTGGGAAACAATGTACCAGTCGATGGTAAGCAAATCTGAACTCCATCTGATGAAAACCCTATGGAAAAGGGATGACGATCCTGCACCTGCAATGAAGATCCATCCAAATATTCAAGATAAATGTTTGTAGAACACAAACCAAATTATGAAATTCCCATTTGCCATTTTTTCAAACAACCTAAAGCTCTAAGCAACACAATAGAATGCATGAGCCAATTAAGAGGCTGGTTAAAAAGGAGTAATTTGTTGGCAGTGAATAATTCGCTAACCTGAAATGGTTTGTTACACGAAAAAGAAAAAGGTATAAATTAGATATTCAATTTTGCAAATTAACAACCTGAATTGAGTCTTAGCTAGCATAAACCATTAGTTATTTTCCAATTTTGCAGACTGGTTTTGCTTTATGTCTTTAAGATCCACACGAGAAGCAAAACTCTATTACTTTCTCTGTAGAAAGATAACCAATTAAAACTAAATGATTCAAAAAAGATTGTTCGAACAGTTCTAGCTGTATTTTGATAAGTGTTAGATGTCTTATCACGGTAAATCTGTAACGACTAATAAATCTCTTGTGAATGAATAGTACGGGCATGCATGTGTGTGTATTTACAGACATATATATGATCTGTTCATCTATGCTCTGTATGGATGGACTTTGGAGGGATGAGTTATATGATGCATAGAATGTTTCTAAAAACAAATAAAATGTGATTGAAATGTTAAAAGATCACATATTATGTCAACCTTTAAATTTAACTGAAATTTATATGTATAGACTTAGCTCATCAAAGCCTGCCCCACAAAACCACTCCATCCAAACAGACCCAACTCATACAACCAGGAGAGGCACTGACTAATTAGGTAGTGTAGGTCAAGAGACACACCTCATACTCCCTAACACGAAATATTGGGCTAAGCATTGCAGACTGAAGAGCACACCCACGTGCAACACACTCACTAGCATTCAAAGTGCGACTAGGTTCTTTCCTGAAGAAGTAACTTAAAGCTTTAGCAATGGCTGGTATTCGAGACCCTGACCCCACAAGTTCAATATGGTGAATATTATCAAAATGCAACCCACAGTCCATTAAAGCCTGATGACAAGGAATGGAAATCCTCTCCAGCAATTGTGATGATAGCTTCTCAAATTCCTCTCTCCGGATGTAACCTGTCACATCTTTCTCATCCATCAAGCATTCAATATTGAGTTGTGCCTCTGCATTTGCACTCAAAACTTTCTTCAATTTCTCGCATGCTGACCTCAGCCTAACAGAAGCACGAGCATTTGAGTAGACATCAATATTGTATTGTTCCTTGAAGTTTCTAGCAAAATGTCTGAACAGAACCTCATCGAAATCCCTCCCCCCTAGCTCAATATCAAAAGCATGAGAAAGTATCTTCATATGTCCTTGATCAAAAGAAGCCACGGCGACTTGAGTATCACAATGGCCAATATCAACAAACACAACATTAGTAGGACTGCCGGCTAAAAGGTCTGTTTTGTAAATTCCATAACCTAGTGCTGTAGCAGTGCAATCATGTATCAACCGGAGTGGGTTTAAACCACCTATCTCCGCAGCCTGCAAATAGCATCGTCTCTGCAAGTCCGTGAAGTAAGAAGGCACCCCAATGACACAATCAGAAACATTTGTTTCCATATTCTTCTCAGCAATTTGTTTTAAATGTGCGAATAACATTGCAAGGACTTGAATGGGGCTAAAAGTGCGTTTCTCATGGATATACTGTAGATGGATCAAGATACCCCCATCATGCCCTTCAGATGTCTCAAAGGGAAACAATTTCAGATCATTTTGTACTGAGGGCTCCATATACTTCTTGCCTATTAACCTCTTAAACTGAGAGATTGTCGATTTGGGGTTCATTGTAGCAGATGCAGCCCCAGCAGAGCCCAAAAACCGCTGTTTCTCACCAAACGATACCACAGAAGGAGTTTCTCGTTTTGACTCATCATTTAATATCACATCAATTCCACGTTGCCTCACGACTGCTATGACGCAATTCTCATTTCCAACATCAAACCCAACAACACTCATTTCCAGCTTCTTAAAATCCGCAATTGACAATTCAACAAAACCAGGAAACTATGTCCAATACAATTTAATGATAAAGCATAGAACCAAGCCTTCGTTAGATGATTGGATTAGAGTTGTGCGCATTCCATTGCCACATCATCTCAATGTGAGATTCACCTATGATGAAGAGTGATCAGAAAATACAGCTCAGAAAGCACTAAAGCGGAATATTCAATCATATAGATTGTATTTCAAGGCAATAAACGATGTATTGCAGCTAGAGGCCTAGCAAAATATAAATTGTAGGGCAAGTATCATACATACATTTTAGAGAGAAGATGCATGGCTTGAGAAGGGGGTGAACCCTAGCAATGGAGGAAAGATGGTCGTGTTGGTTATGGGGAGAAATCTCCAAAATTGGTTCCTGTCCGAAAGAAAGCGGAGAGTTTTTTTTTTTAAGATCTGTCTGTACACTCTCGATCATATATGTTCATTTTATGTTCAAATATTCGTCATTTCGTCTGAGAAAGCCGGGTGACAAGCATGTAATTTCCTAATTTTAAATTTCAATATAATTTGTCTAAATTTAATTTAAAGCCAATATCTACCTAACATATAACACTTGTATGATAAGTAAATTAGAAGTATGAGTTACATTTTATTGTAATGTACTTTGTGTCCTTTTCTTATATGCATTAATACTTGTACTTTTTTATGAAATTAATGTGTCATAATTCTGTATGTTCAAAAGTATCATTCATTTTCGCTAGCTGCAATAACTACACCGTTGACCCTTAATTTATAAAAGTATCATATACGAGTATCTAAATGAATGTTTCACAAACTTTTTAATGCATACTTAGAAATTTGAATTAACATAATTATTTAAATACTTTTTTATACATGTACTTGGATTCACTTAGATTAACAAGATTGTTAGAGTATCTATGTCCAATTGAATTCACCAAATTAGTTGTTGAGTTTTTTTATATCCAAATGAAACATTTGGTGATGAGGCTGTTGATGTCGGTATCATTACAAAAACAACAAACTTGTTAGGAAGTTGACACAAATTGAACGAATTTCACACAAATTGAAACATATTTTTGGTTGCACCTTTGGCACAAATTTTGACACGAATTTGACACAAAGTCCCGGATCTCTGACAAATTTGTGCCAAAATTCCTACCAAATACATTTGGGCATGGATACATAGTGCGTATAGATCCATGACAAAGGTACGTTACAAATCCATGTTAAGCTTGTTGGTTTTTCCGTTTTTTTTTTCAATTTGGCCAATTTGAAACTCATTTTCAAAAGAGTGACTTTTTTACATATAAATAACATTGACTAGCAAGATAATAAATTGGAAAAAATATGATATTTTTATCATATTTTGTGAACTTAAAAACTTTTTGATGACTTCTTCTGGTAAACTTAAAAAATAGAAAAAACCAAACAAATACTATCAAAATTTTCGGACTGTGCTTTATGGCAGCAACTTTTAATGGAAGTTCCTGCAGGTGTGGGATGGGTCTGTGGTAGAGATTGAATATGAATTACAATGAGAAAAAATCTATCATTATATAAAAGCAAAAGGGTTTTTGGCACTGTTCTTTGTACAGTGTTCCCTCCCAAATTCTTAAGGTAAGAGAGTACATGGCTAAAATTTCTAAAATAGCCCTTTGTGCAATGTATAGGTACACAAGAATTCATGATGGGTTTTGAAAAGCAAAGTTCTGTCATCATAATTACATAAGAGCAAGGTTTCCGATCAACTACTTTTAGAAAAGAAATTCCATGAGTTAAAATTACAAAAATGCCCCCCCAGACAGTGTACAACATTAATACATTATGAAAAGGGTGATGAACAGTACGATTTCATATTATACACTCTTCAAAAAATCCGTACATGCTACTGTTTTTTTATGGTAATGGCATCTTCTACTTTCCATGACATTGGGCAGCTAATACCTCTTGAGCAGCTTTCCATAACTTGAGGAATCGTGACAATTTTGAGACCTATGAGATTAAGAAAACATTTCATGACTATATAAAATATAAAATTAAATTCATTAATAAATTTAAAATGAATAGTTAGAATACAATCTCTTTCACTACACTATTTCATAAGCATTGTATAGAAACTTTCATTATAGTATAAAGTTATACTTAAGATGATTCATATTAAAAAAGGATGACACCCCATCCCAGAGGGCCCCCGAACCCCGACCGGACGGTACGTTGGGAGGATGTAAGTTGGACTGTAATCCCAATATGACAGATAGAGAGTGGGGTTCTGTCCTCGGTACTTGCAGAGGCCCTATGCATTTGTTAGCATAGTAACCTCTCATCGCAGGTGCCGAGATTCGAACCTGGGACCTAACCCTTGTGGCACTTCATCGCTACCAGTTGAGCTACATCCACCGGTTAAAGATGATTCATATTAATTATGTCATTATGTACAGTACACTGATTTAAATTCATGAATAAATTCAAAATGAACAGTTCTGCAATCTGTTTCATTACAATATTACACATTATGCACAAAGTATGATGTTATGCTTTACAATTAAGAATATTACCTTTCATTGGAATTGATAACAGACATTTGTTTGGGCTGGAGGCTTGGTGTACCAATATTACTCAAATAACCATATATACATTACAAAATTGAACCTGTGAGATCAAGAAAACACTGTCATTACTTTGTATATAAAATATAAAGTAAAATTTTAAAACACATGCTACATTTTACAGCACACAGGCTCTTTAAAAATACCTGGTGTGGTACTGTTTGGTGATGGTAATAGCATCTTTAACCTATGTCCTAGATATTATTAGTCCTACATTTTAGTAGACAATTTTAGTAGACAATTCAATGAAAATCTTTGTGGTTGCAATTGCTCTTTAAAAATAAATACCTGGTGTGGTACTGTTTGTTGATGGTAATGGCATCTTTGATGAATCATTTAAAATTTGAGCTATGAGATCAAAAGTTGAGCCTGTGAGATCAAATAAGTATTCTCAGTAATCTTTATAAAATATAAAATAAATATACACCTACATAGAAACTATTTCCTATATATTGTTGTTCCTACAATGAAGAGTGTGTGACAGCTCATTGTGGCACACTTTTACAGAAAAAAATACACACAAATATATGTATGTATAATGTGAATCCACAGTGCAGGAAAGGTCCCCTGTAAATAGACTCACTTGCACTCATATTCCACCATTCAATCCTTCTTTCTTATGTAACTACTATCCAATATAAAAATGGTTGGCATGTGGTCCTTAATAAACGAGTTCCACCAATCAAAAACAATTCGGGCTTTCAAAGCCCGAGCTGTTCGCGTCTATAACGTACCTGCCCATGGCATCCACGGTGAATCTTTGCAGTGCATTTTCCATGACGCTGAGGTATTTACTTAAATTTCCAGATTGGTTTCTAATACTTCAAGTATGTTACTTCAAGAACTAACATCAAGTAATACACAGGGAACAAAAATACATGCACACATTGCAAAATCAGAGGTTGCAAAGTTCGAGCACCTGTTTGAGGACGGAAATGTTTATGCAATAAGAAAAGTGTTGGTGCTGGATAACTATATGAAGTTCAAGACAACGAGGAATGAGTTCAAGTTGTTATTCATCAACCGGACCGATGCCTTTCAAATCTCGGACATTACTTTTCCTATGAGAATGTTTGACTTCGTGTCTATTGCTTCCTTACAAGATGCTGAAGTCATTGATGAAACCTATGCTATAGGTGATTTTTTAAGTTTAAATACATTTTCTGTTATTGAAATATTTATTAAACTTATGAGTTATTGTTTATTACTTATAGATGTAATTGGCAAGGTAACTTCCATGTCAAACCCAAAGTCCCTGACAAAGAATGGTAGACAAACAACGTTGCTTGATATAACCCTTGGTGATGCCAAGTACGTATTTTGATCTAAAAAAACAGTTTTATGTAGTTAAAGCCTTTTTGACATTCTTATTATATTTGTAGTGGAAATACGATCACTTGCACTCTTTGGGAGAACATGGTAGAAGAGTTCGTGGATTTTCTGAAAACAAAACCAAAGTCAATCACTCTTATTCTTCAACGATGTCGTGCTAAAAAATTCCACGGTATGTTGTTGAATGAAATATATTAGTCTTTTGGTTTGTTCTTAACAGTGTAATGTACTTAGGTCGGGTTGGGGTTACAAACATGTTTCATGTGACGAAGATGTTTCTTAATTGCAACAATGAGGAGTGTGCAGCTTTCAATTCTACGTACGAAAATTATTTTGAAATTTATCAATGGTTACACAGAAAGCAATTGTGATTTTAATCTACGCTTTAATTAAATGACATAGGTTTGGTCATGATAATGATAAAGATGGGGAAGGTCTAGCCTTATCTACTTTTGTTACCCCTACTTTTCAAGATGACCTAACTGCGGGAAAAGTTCAGTTGGTTTCAATTGAAGAGCTAATGAAAATGGAAGAGGTTGTTATATATCAGACTTTGGTTTTGTAAAATTACTTGCCTTAATTTATTTATTTTAGACTAATTATAAGGTAATGTATACTTATAATAATAGGATGGAAAACACTGGGTCTATGGGGAGATATTGACAGTAGACAGCTACAGAGATTGGAACTACATATCTTGCAAAGGGTGCAGCAGAAAGGTGTCACCTGAAGGTGACAGTTTCATTCGTGGTGTGTGCAACACCAAAGAAGTAGTTCTAAGGTGACAACATATCCTTTTTCTATTTTGGTAAAGTAACTGGCACATAGCATTTACTGAAATTTTTTAACATTTCAGGTACAAAATTAATGTTAGGGTGATGGATGAGACAGGTCATGCTTCTTTTGTATTTTGGGATAAAGAATGCATTGCTTTGGTTGGAAAAACTGCAAGTACTCTTCATGAGGAGATTGAAAAGGTTTTTCAATAAGAAAATTTGAGTATTTAATGCTGACATATCTTATAGACTATAGATATTAATAAATTTAAATTTGGTGGGTGATGGAGTATATGGACTCCGACCCCCCGGTATGCCGACTACTGGGCCTGGACAGTGGCCCACACACGTTTAGCGGATTCATATTATTGTACATTATTATTCAAATGTTCTAGATTAGCTTTTTATACTATCAGTCCATTTATGTAACCGGGTCTGCCAAGCCCGTATTAGAGGCCCAGACCCGGATTTCCCCTATATATACTCCTTATAGGAGGCTTGTAAACACACAACTCAACAATCAATATTGATTCATACACAATACTTCTTCTCTTCTCCTTCTTTCTTGTTCAAATCTTTCCTAGTTTATACAATATGGGTATCAATTATCCAACAATGGTGCTCTCGTTGAGAGGTTTGAACACAATCAAGTGAGAAAACCTCCCGAAACATTCAAAAAATCATGCAAATCACAAAGGATCAACAAGGAACTTTTCTGGAAAATTAAAAAAAGAAAAAAAGATATCTGGATTTTTACAGATCTGGAGCAGTTCCGGCCATATCGGAACTGTCTGGTCAATGGAGCAGCAAGGGAGGAGCCAGGTCC